TATTTTCATCCATGTGGGAAGTAACCCTAGAGGTGAGAAGAGGCTGATAGTGAGGCTCAGTGACTTTGTGTTTCAGTGTCTCCTTATCAGTTCAGGCTAACTACACCTCATTCTGATGGTATTCCTGCAGGCGGTTCTCCAGAATTACATGCTGACAGTACTCTCTTGCCCCGAGTTCCAGCCTCCCACGAGACAGTGCTGGTAGCTCGGGTTTCTGACCCGAAGCGTGCCTGGCTGCTGTTCTGAGATACAGCAACTGCCTCTGCTCTCTTCCGGCAGCATTGGAGGCAGTTTGCTCTGTGGGGCAGGCGTGGCTGTCGACTGTAACGCTTGTGTCTCCGTTTGCAGGCATTAAGTGGCAATTTCCAAAGGCAGCACGGCGCAGACCCATGAAGGCCTGTACTGAAGACAGCGCGCTGTTAGTACAGACTGGATGCTTTTCTCGCAGCTGCGTTGTGCCTCCTGAGAAAAACTTAATGAAAGAGCTCTTTCAGTGCTGGCGTGTTTCCAGATCCTGCACAGTCATGGAGTGCAATAATACTGTATAGTTTTTTTAAGATTTCATTCGACCAGTTCATAGCTCAGCAATGCAGGCATTACTAATTGTAACTTATTTTATATTCATGTTTCACACTATTGCAGATTGAGTTGATAGCTAATTTTTCCTTGGAAAAAGATGTTTGTTTAATCTGTTGTATTTTATATGAATTTATGTTCTTTTTGTAGTTTAAAATGAAGTTACAGGAGTGTCTGATGTTGTCCTAAACTGTTAAGTGACAGCCGTCTAGCAAATATCTCTAATGTGGTTAAAGCAGGTTTGTATATTTTTCAAAATATATGGCAGAGTTGAACAGTGCATTATATACTAAATTATATGAACAAGATTATTTGCAGAGTAGTTACATTGTTTTGTGACTTCAGTAAAAATTAAGGTCAACTGCTCTTTAAATTGTGTTGGCCAGTTCAAGAGGTTTTTCCTTGACCATTCTGGAGAGGAACAGCTGGGCCTTTCTACTGTCCTAAATAGAAACCAGGAAAGTTAATTTAAATAAAGAGTTCTCATTTCCTGTGTGAAGTACCTTGTTTGAGTCACTGATGGATATTCTTAGAACTGCAACTGAAAAAAAAAAAAGCATAAAAAGCCTACTTTCCAAAGTCATTAATCTTGTGTCTGTGTTGTTGAAGCCCCTGACAGCCTGTGTTCTGGAAGGAACCCAGTGCTCTTGTCTCTTACTGCTGAAGCCCAGCTGCAATTGGAGCTTCAGGGAGCTCACTGGGTTAGAGCTGAGTCCTGGTGTGGTTCTTTTGCAGGCGCTGGGAGTTTTCCTGGGGTGTATGAGCCACTGGCAGCAGCCTGTGATCCACAGTTCCTGGTCACCACTGGGTACCTCTGGACCATGCAGTGCTCCAGGCTGGGTGGCTGAGCCACTGCCCCAGTGGCACCCATGTGGGAGCTGGGTCCTGGCAGCACCTGCCTCCCATCTGGTTTTTGTCCTGCTCTGAGCTACAGGGTTTCACCGCCTTTGTAAAACCAGCAGAAGTACCTCCTGGACCCGCTGTGTCAAGCGTCTCTGAATGGGAAGGGAGATTCTCTCTGTTGGGGCAGTAAATTGGATGAGAAGGTAGTCCAGAGGCAGCTGCCATGATCTGTAGGAATGGTTTTTGACCCTCGCTGAAGCTCTAGGGACTGATGTAGGGGATGCTGTGTGTAACCAAAGCTCTGTCCAGCCAGCTGAGGGAGGAGTCCATGCCAGTTGTTACAGAGGTGTTGCTCATTGCATCTGCTAAAGCAGCCTTGAGGCTGCTGTGCTTGACTGTAATGAAATCATCCTTTCAGGTAGTTTGTGCCTTCTCTTCTGAAATAGATTAACCAAAATTTTCTAGTGTGGATGGAGTTTTAGTTTCTCATTAATTATGCACTTCTGGGAAATTAGACAGAAAGCAAATAAATGCACGGATGTGTTGCTAGGTTAAGATTTTCCATGAGCTGTTCAGAGCGTCATCCTAGTGATGGTAATTGCTCATGTTCTGCTTGCTGCTCCCAGTGTCCCTTCCCTCCCACCTGGGCGGGTGGTTTGTCAGTACGCTCGTGTTCAGTGTGCAAGGACCTTTGCTGATGTCCCTCCAAGGCAGCAGAAGCTTTTTTTTTGGGAGTGGGTTGGTGTTGCAGGCTAGGCAGTGTTTTGGTTGTATCTGTAACTGCTCTGGACTGTAGGGTGCATAGAGCGGGCTTGGGTGTATGGGCTGGACCAAGGCTCACGATCACCATTCACAGAGCACTTAGGAAAAATGGAACAGTAAAATGTTGATAGTCAGTAAAGGCAGCAACACCTTCCAGCCTTCTGATAAACGTGTTGCCAGACACTAACTGGTGATCCTGTATCTGTGGTGTTTTAACCAGGAGGACTGGTTCTAGTGTGAAATTGGTGCTTCCTAAAGTGAAGCTTAAGCCTAGCTGTGCAGTTTTGGGTGACAGGCAGCCAGAGCCTGGAAGCCTGCTTCATGCAGTACCTGGGAGGACAGACCTGGGTGAGTGTACACTGCTTCTGTTCACTGCTCTCCTGGCCTCCAGAAATAACTCAGTATGGGGCTTTCTGGGTGTTCTGTGTGTTCAGTAATGCTGCAAGGGTTTCCCCTCCTTGCATCATCTTCCTAAACATGTTTGTCTTTCCTGGAGAAGGGTCTGACCACCAGCGTTGCTGGGGCACAGTGGGGAGCCCAGGCATCTGCGCATTGTCCTTATGTTGAGATTGCAGCTATTTGCTCTCCCTTCCTATATAGTGCTACTTTCTTATTTTAAAATGAAGGTGTAAAGACACATTTATCTAAATTAGCTTTGTGTCAGCACTCAACTGCTTTCACCCATGGGTGAAGTGGGTATTAAATAGTGGATCTGAGGGGATCAAGCTTGTTGATCTTGGCTTGTTACACACAAGGGTAGATGATACAGGTGTAGGTGCAGACTAGATAAGGACAAAAAATGGGTCTCATTTCCCACTGCGAGTGTAGAAAAACAGGACATCTTATAAGCCGTTTGCAGCAGAGATCTGTGCTCACATCTCATCTCACACTGGCATAAATCAGATACAGTCTTCTAGAAAATGGACATACAACGGCATAACAGGTCAAAATTAAACTCCCCGGTGTGATCTTCATCTTTCTAAATCAAAGACTTAGAATCTAGAAGATAGTTAATCAGAGATTGTTACCCAAGCCACCACAGCTGAGGCTGCAGAGTTCCACAGGAGCTGGGCTGAGTGGCACGGGATGCTGCTCTGCCTGGGCCCTGTGGTGCGGGAAGTTGGTCCCTTGCTCCGTCTCTGGGGAAGGCTGGAATCGCCTGGGCACGGAGAGGTGAGGGCAGCTGGGGGTGCATGTGTGCCGATGCTATCTCCAGTACTTCTAGAAGGCAGTTTTTACTAGTGGGTTGCGTTACAGGCTTTAGCATGGACCTAAACCCTGGTTGTTTTGCTGGATGTTGAGTTTCTGCCCTTTCCCAGGCCTGGCACCCCCGGATGAGACCAGGGTGAGCCCAGGTGTGTGAACAGGAGCAGTCCCTCCACTGCCCCTCTCCTGGGCATAGGGAGTTTCTGAAGATGGTAGAGGCTGGCAAGAGCTGTGCGTGGCTGCCCGGCTACGGTGGCATGGTGCGAGCTCCTTCCACCTGGTGTTAGCAGTGCTATTAGCAGAGCTTGTATGCTGCTCGTGAACATGAAGTAGCAAGTAATAACTGTCTTGGACAGATAATGTCTTGGATAGGTAGACTTGCACCTGTCTTGGACAGATAGACTTAAATTCCGAATCTGTATGTTCGGAATAGTATGTTTATCCAGAGCCTAATTTGACATAAATTGGATTTTTTTTTACTCATTTACTGTTCAACTTCCTACTAGTGTCGTGGTTGAGTAAAAAAAGTTCATTTTGCATGTGTTTGGAGAACCTGTAAAAGGCGGTACAGTGAGGAACCCCTCCCCCAGCATCACCCTGCTCCATTGGTGTCTCCAGTGTGCCCTGATCTCCCATGGCCTTGGCAGATTGACGTTCAAAGTTTTCTGCACCAGCCAGGGCAGCTCTGGGCCTGAGAAGGTATTCCTTTGCCATTCCCCCTTCCCCACATGCCCCTGTCCATGTGACGGGTCTGAAGGCTGCAGGGTGTCCCTGTATCAGATGCTGTACGTGGCAGCCTGGGCTGTTGGCTCCGCAGTGCCCAGAGCAGTGTCCTGGCACAGCAGGTATTCCTATGGCACCATACCTCCCTCAAACATCCCAACTGTTGGGAGGTGGGGTAGGGGCCAGCCTGAGGTACCCACTTCATGAGGGGTCCATGCCCCACCACCTTTGCTCGTGCTGCTCTGACAGCCACTGGGCCCATGGTGGGAAGGAAGCACATGGTGCCCGCTGCAGCAGAGCCTTCCCCCTGCCTTGGTTGTTTACGAGCTGCTGCCAAGAGGCTGAGGCTCATCTGTGCTCTCTGCTGCATGCATTAATAGCCTCCTGTCCCCAGCACCCACACACATGTTGCCAAGACAGTGACCTTTGATTGCTTTGGACAAACTGTGCTTTTGTGCCTCTCTGTGTGTGGGGAACCACTGTGTCTTGTACCTGCAGCAGGCTGAGCTGCCATCCAGTGTTTGCGCCAGGGAAGTCTGGGCATCCCACTGGTGCTATGTCTTTGGCAGAAGTACTGGCTGTGCAGAGCAGTGCCTGTGTGGCTGACTTCTAAGCAAACATCTCCTACTCATATACCTGTCATGGGCTATAACTTAGCCGTGCTCTGTCTGCTTTTATCTTTGTGCCCCATCCATGGGCTGAAACAACTGGTCAGCCCACCTTCAGCTGGGAAGGCCCCAGGAGAGGGGCAGTGCAGAATGGCCATGGGTTGCCCTTTGCACTGCGCGACAGCAGGGCAGGACTGCAGGCAAAATCCCATTGAATGTGTGCAGATACTGCAGCGTCAGGGAGCATCTCAGCTTGTTTTGCCTTCACATGACACTTGCTGGTCAGACTTCAACATTTATTATTGCCCTGATTGAGCTACGTAGCTGATCGCTTATGTCAGAAGTTGTGCAAAGCTGTAAGATCTTCAAAGTCTGTGTGATAAGGTATGCTGGAGGCTTCAGTTTGTCCCATTGCTCGCTAGAAGGAAAGTTTAAGCATCCACGCAGTCTGTCAAAGAGCCGCAGGATCCTCACCCTGAAGGCAAGCAGCAGGACGTCGTCTTCGCTCAGCAGGGCAGGGGGAGGCAGCTGGCTGACATCGCTGACCTGGGGAGTGGAGGTGAGTGGTATCAGCAGTGCAGCAGCACGGGACAGGACTTCAGGGCTTTGGTCTCCCCAGCAGACAAACCTGCCCCCATGGCAGGAGCCCGTGGAGGAAGGGAGCTGCCATGCACCCTGCCCTCATGGATCGCAGCTCTTCTTACTGTAGCAGAGCCATGGTGACCCTCGGGGATGCAGGCAGAGACACTGGGGACCTACCCAGGAGTGTTTCCTGTACCCTGCAGCCCCTTACAGGAGCTACAGAGTCAGGGCTGCCAGGGCTGGTGAGTCCTCTGTTTGCATGGGTCTGAGCACAGGTACACCTCCACTGTTTGCTGTTTTGGGGAGCAGGACCATCGGGCAACACAGGGAGCACCCACTGTGGGACGAGCGTGCTTCCCCATGGATGGGAGCTTCCCTGGCTGTCCTGCTCCTGCTGTGGAGTGCGACTTTGTGTGGAGCTATCTCTGTGCTTGAGAAATACCTGCACTTTGATTCCCACGTTGAATTTTGCTTGTCGCCCCATTGCAAGGAAGGAAACAGCGATCTTATCCTGGCCCAGGATCCTGACCCCGACGTGCCGGTTGAGGGAGATGAAGATGGGTCTCAGTGGGACATGGGGTCCTGGTGACATGACACTGTTTGGCCATGTCCACCTCCTCACCCTGCTGCCTGCTTGGTCCAAATACTGCCCTCCCTGAATACTCATGTATATCCTAAAAAAGAGGAAAATCAAAGCTCTGAACCTGGCAGCTCCCATGGCAGCTTCCACAGAGGGAAAGGATTGATGCACAGCTACTTTAGGGTCTAACCCCTTCCTCTCAAGACACAGAGGGTGGCCCTGCCCCTCTGGGAGGTACCTAAAGCAGGCCCTCGAGCTGCTATACTTGTCTTTTAATTTTTGAATGCTCTTAATAATACCCTTTATGACCTTTGAAATTTAAAAAGCACAGTGGAGAGCAAAACTGCTCCGGCCAATTTAAACATACCACACAGTTCCGTTTGGATAATAGCAAGTACTTCTGCCATCGGATTTAAATATTGCTTGTATTTCGGCATAACTTGGCTTGTCTTCCTGTACTATGCAAACACGACATTTTTTCTTCTGTACAACAGTGATCGCCAGATTTCCAGATGGATAGCTGTCATCAGATAAGGTGTTCGTAACTCCTTTCTTTGTCTGGTCTATTATTACATTCTGAATATTGCAGAGCACTACTTTGGAGTATAAAAATGGACATACTAACCAGATCACTGTGTTAAAGGCAGAATGATGGTGTGCTGCCAGTGTTACCTGGGATATTGCCAGTGCTTTTCTTCTACATTGAAGTATTCTGTATACACTGACAAAAGAGATACAGAATGCATTTTTGTTGTTTTCTAATCAAAAACCCAGGCAGAACTGCTTAGCAAGTTTTTATCTTAAAGACACGTTCCTGGACAATGCTAATGACTGAAAGTATGAGGCTAGCCAGTGAAGTGGTCAAAGTACTCAACTTGGATGACAGCGGAGAAAACAGAGGCAGGTACTATTCTCCCAGAGCTAAAAAGAAAACAAATGTGGAGAAAAAAGGCCCTTGGCACAGAAACCTGACGAGCAGGAGGTATTTTGTGTGTCACTGGGGTTTTCCTGCAGCAAGACTTGCTACTAGAAGTGCATGTGCTTATGGCACTTTGCCACCCCCATGACTGGCAGCATCCCTGGGACAAAGGCAGCCCGGAGGGCAGAGCAGAGAAGTAGTCTCAAGCCTGTTTGCTTTGATGTCAGAGCTCACGTGGACTTTCATACACCCCTGGCTCAGAAAAAAGTCCACCACAGTGAGGAAAAATAACTTGGGTGACTTAAAATGTTACGGCTTAAATAATGGCAAAGGCAGCCTGAAAGCTATGGGGTCCTATGGTGAAACTGACACATTTTTATTTCTTCAAACAGTACTCTTAGTTACACTGTTAATTTCAGTTTGTCCGTGCACCTTTTATGTACTCCTGCCTGCAGGACAGAGACCTCAGCCCTGTGCCGCTGGGAAATAAAGTGCTGGTTTGTTCCTGTGGGAAGGGTGGGGCTGAATAGTTTGGGAGCTCACTCAGCCAGCAATGCCCTTCCACGGGTGGCCAGAGCTCAGGAGTGTGTCTAAACACTGGGCTAGCGTGTTTCTTAAGCTGGGTATTAAAGGCACAAGGCTATGTAAGTGGTTTCACTACTGCTTTTTTCCAGACTGTAAAAATGAATGTGAATGGTGGACCAGGGTATTTGGTGATAAAGCAGCCTAGGACTCACGTAAAATGACAGTTACAACCCTGGACTAATGCAGGCCAATGAACCCCGTAAAGGATACAATAACTGCGCTGTTCCATCTGGAAGCATGGTGAGGAATTTCCCTCCATGTCTGTAGTATTTTTCCAGAAATTCATGCTTCACTACCTAAGATTGGAAGGGAAACAATAAAATGGATGAGAGCAGTCCTGCGCCAGCTGCCCTTGAAAGGCAGGCAGGCACCAGGCTCCAGCCACTCTGGAGCATGGACACATCCAAGATGCAGCCCATCGGACATGTCTGCGGCAGCTACTTGCCTTTCCACCAACAGAGGTAAAATCACAACAGGTGACACTGTAGGAGATGGGCTCCTCCTTGGGCTCTGCTGCTCTCTCAGCAGGCATCAGAGTCCAGCTGTTTGGTGACGGGGGCTCCAGGGAAAGCTGGTAGAAAATTGTGCCAGGTTCATTTAAACCTAGAGAGGAAAGGGGAGGGTTTGTGTGCATTGCGTAGGGTTGGCAGTGCCCATAGCGAGGAGGCTGTAACGTGGGGGAGTGGGAATTTCTGGCTGAAATGCTCCATCCTGGGAGTCTGTTTCAAGGTATTTTCTGTCTAACAAGGACAGTCTAAAGTGTTCAGCTATTTCAGAGAACAGAATTATGAAAAAAGATGCAGCATGACTTTTTTTGGATAGCATTCATGGCTCCATGCTCTGCAGGACTGATGATCTGAAATTCTTGGTGCCACAAAAGCCTCTGTACCCTGCCATCCTCTGTGAAAATAAGCCTATATTATAAATCTAGTTCATCTGTTCTTAGTCAAAATGCCTTCGATTTTATAGCTAGATCCGAAGGGCTGCTCAGTCATTCACAGACTGAGCTAGGATTTAGTGGAGTATTCACTTGACGAGGCAAAATGTCAATCCCCCTAATTCTGGCAGTTCATACTTTCTGAGGGCTTGGCTTTGCTTACTTACTGTTCTCGAAAGTAAATTTCTGTGCATCTCAGTTGAAACAGATTTAAATACTGCAAGTCACAGCAAGGAGATCCTTTCAGTGCAATGGGAATATAACTGGTTTTGGTGTTTTCATGCCATTTAATATGGCAGAATCTAATTCAGTGGGACTGCACACTTGACAGTGAGCTAATGTGTCATTGTATAAATCCTCCTGTTCCATTAGAGAGCATTAGAGACAAGCAGTTCCATTGAATTCATTGTTGTAATAAATAGACAAATACGTAAGGAAATGCAAACTCACGTTCAGCTGCAAGTGCTGCCTTTGCTGCCTCCAAAAATAACTGTCTGGTCAATCGTCTCTCCAGCTGCCTGGAAATGAAAGTGTTCCTGATCTGTTTCATATATCCTGTTTTGAAAATCAAAGGCACTGGGTATCCTTTCCATAGGAATGCAAGTTTCTGAATCTGTTTTTTCTCTCCACTCACATGATTGCATATAAGTTAGAAGCAACAGAATATCACCAAAAAGGAATTGCTTCCATACAGAGGTTTCGGTGAACAGACTAAACATTATAATGGACTGTGTATCAAGATTTTCTGTGAAAGAGGAGAGCTGCCAACAAGATCAAGAAAACAGCTAATCTCCAAGAATGCTTCGACTATTCTTCTTATCTAGCTTCCTATAAATTTGACAGAGTCTGACAATGACTTTGGTGCATGTTCTGTATGTAATATGAGCTACTCGCACCATCAGACTGCAAAGGATGTTCAAGCAAGCTAGCAGTTTACGTCCAAGTATACTGATCTACTTTTCTTTAAGCCTGTGCTACAGACTCAGATATTTCTATAAGCTTTGGGCCTCCTACTAAACAGCCCAGTAGAAGTCAAACTTGCAGAGTTCTCATGACTCTGGAAACTAGAATTCAAATGCGTGGTCACAGTTTATGCAGCATAATAGAGAAACAAAAATTCAAGCTTTGCTTCAGTATCTGGGGTAAAGCTAGACCTGAGTATTATACCTCCCACAGCTGCAATTACGTTTTTGGCTCTACCCGTCTCTAGGTACCTTGTCTGAAAGCAGTAGAATGAATGCTCAGTATATACCTCACCACCTTCTAATACAACCCGATAGGAGAAAAGCCAAGAGGCTCCAGATAGAATGTGAACTTGTGTTGCCTAAAGCAAATTTTTTTCTTCTCTCGTTGCCTCTTGCTGCAGTTTCATTTTCTTAATGCTTCTTTTCCTCCCAGAGTCACCTGTTGTGCCTCACACAGACCAGAACCCCAGTTCTCCCTGTAATCATTTCACAGTACCTCTCGTATGCCCTCTCCTCTGACGGCAGCCTGTCAGCTTCAGTGCCATGGGACTCATGGGGGATGACATCAGTGGGAATGCTCCTGGCATGTTCATGGGTCTTCCCCTCATGGGACTCTCGGGTGCTGACATCAGTGGGAATGCTCCCGGCATGTTCATGGGTCTTTCCCTCATGGGACTCTTGGGTGCTGACATCAATGGGAATGCTCCAGATGCCTTCATGGGTCTTCCTCTCGCGGGACTTATGGAGGCCGATATCAATGGGAATGCTCCAGATGCCTTTGTGAGTCTGCCCCTCATGGGTCTTCTGGAGGCCAACACCAGTGGGAATGTTCCAGGTGCCTTCATAGGTCTTCCTCTCCTTCACAATGAACTCGTAGAGGTCTCTATTATGTTCACAGCAAAACTTCTGAAAGGCAGAAAAGCTGTGCCATGAAAGTGGGCCTTTCCACAGCCAACCTCTGCTAATCTTTCCCACCAGCTTACTGATTCATAATCCTGTGACAGTGGCCAAATGTCTTCAAAGGAAGGGAATGGCTTCAGCAGGCTGCCACAGTACTCACATCTTGGAGCAAAGTCTTCCTCTATCTGAAGTGGAGGTGGGGAGAGAGAACATGGGGAGGACAAAAATAATGGTATCAGCACACAAATCCTCATTTTATCTTGGGGAAAGATGGCTATGCTCAAAATGCAACGTCATAAAATATGTAAGAGCAGTTAAAACAGATCTGTGTCTGTGATATCTTGGGATGATTTAACTCAAACCATTAGGTTCAGGAAACCACCAAAAAGAAAAGCTGCTCTGTAGTAAGTAAATAAATAAAACCCCTCAAATAAATGGAATAACTGTAGTACCTGTGAGACCCACTCCTTCCAAGAGAAAGCTTCAGAGCATGAAGAATACTACAGCTGAGTACTCTGGTGCATTAACCCTTTCAAGTACATTGCTTGGGGCTTTGGAGAGAAAAAGCTCCCCCCGATTGTTGCACTGTTGATCACAGGAAAATCTGTGGGGAATTTCATGAGGAACCACCAGCAGATTTGTTGAGAAAAGAGCTGAGCATATTTGACCAGATGCACATCAGGACTGGTCTGGGATATATTTTGAGGATGTGTACTAGATATCCTGAAAGAAATATCTATTTTATGAAAACACATTTTGAAACCAAGTTACAGAAAGTGCAGCTGCCAAGAGCACGCTGCTGAATTTCATGCCTAAAGCCTCTGCTCCCAAGGGCAGCACAGCAAGCTCAGCACTGCTTGAGAGCAATCCATTAGCAGCACCAAGGGGTGAAGGGTAGGTACCTGCTCCAGGCCACTTAGCTGGTGTGCTTCACTTACCCTTCATTTACTGTACCATATGTTTAACACTTTCATTCAAATCCTTCAATTTCAGAAAAGAACATATTAATTTGAAATACTTGGCTTCTCTGGAGCATTATTCTTCGAAATTCCCTTGCTTCCCTACCTCATCATGCCTAGGATTAACTCTCTTTGCTGACTTTACTCTGTTAAGAGTTACGGGGAACTCTGTGCCCTTCTTGTAACTCTTTAACTGTATACCTAGTATTTATACAAGCTTTGTACCACTGTTTTAGCCAGAGGGCAAATTCTTCTGCTAGAAAATTCTTAATACAGGATGCAGTATTGGGGAGAGGAGTTGCACAGCCTCTTGCTGTTCAGGAGTGCACAATAAGCACCATTTCAACAGCCTCACAGAAGAAACTCTTTTGTAAAGGAACTCCTGCACTGGCTTGGCAAAGGGCATTGTTTTTATTTTTTCTACATGGGAATCATAGGAATTAAACAGAAAAAGCCGCACAGTAGGGAGCATCTACCACTGACTCACCTCAACCTGTAGGATTTCTCGTAACGATTCAGGTCTGTAGGCCAGAAGGCTAGGCAGGCCAGTGGATGGGAATGTGCGCAGTGATTTCTTGAACAGCTTCACAAAATCTTCTTCCAACTCAAAGTAGAAAATAACAAAAGCAATTTGGAGTCATATCTTCATTCAGGGGTAAACCTATTAAGCATATATATGCTACCTGGGTGAGTCCTTACCTCCATGTCACACGAAACATCTAAGCTTCTGGACTCTTCTGACAGGGCTGCAAGTAATAGCGACAGTGAGAATTACTGAACAGCTGTGCTGTGCTCTCAGAAAGCTTATCTTCTAGACATATTTGTTTTGTTCCTCTTTCAGCATGCCAGCCTGTTCTCATTGACCACATCAGCTGCCTGAGTCCTTCTTGTCAGACTTGCTCCTACAGTTTCAGAAGGGCAATCTGGACCTACGTGTAACCCTTCCCAGATGTCTGAGGGACTGTAACTGGGCACTGACATGGGAGCAGGGCTTTACAAATGTGTCCACCGAAGTCATGCAGACAGTTTATTGCTGAGAGGCAGTGACTTGCAGCACTGAGCTAATACTGCATTATCCTCAAAAGCATTTCCAGCCTTTCTAGTCCTAAAAAGAAAGAGCTGAAGAGACATGTGAGGTTTTCTCTCATTTCTAAGTACATTCTGTGTAAATGCAACAAAGGGTTCTTTGCCCTTTGGAGTGACAGTCAACATCTCAGATGACTGTGTGTCTAGCACTGTCCTCAGTAGTGCTGACATCCAGCCGCCTCAGGTGCACAGCTCTATGTTGTCCCCTATACATCACCTCCTGTCTGAACATCAACATGACCAGCATACCAACTGCTACAGCCTCCCCTTCAGCCAAGCTAAACACATTCTTAGTTCTTTTAGCCTTGAACTTCAGTTCCCCTTGTTGCCACCCAATTTATCTTGCCCTTCAAAGTAAGCTTATTCTGCTTTCCAGAAAATACTCAGCCAGATGAAACTCTGGGCAGGCTGAAACACCAAAATCTTTCTAAGTCCTTCTCTTTGGAAAGTATGGAAAAATCAGAACATGTATTTAAAAGGATGGGATAAAAATCACAACAGCCCCATGTCAACACCCAGCTTCCTAGGCCTGTGGTGGGACCCACAGCTCGGGAATGCACCTGGAAGTGAATGAATGCACCAACACAGAGGGAAAAGCAGAAAGCAATGCTTCTAAAACTCACTTATACTTTTAGAAGGCTGAATGACATGACTGCTGGTTTGCTTGAACTTTTTTTGAATTTCAGTTCAAAGACATGTGGTTATCACCACAGCAGTCAAGGTATGTCACAGAAAGTAGCTGATCATAAACCCCACCTGAGAAGAAGTGACTTCAGGAAGTGCATGGTGCTGGTGCTTCACTGATGTGAAGCTGTGCAGGCAGGGCACAGCTCTGGGTGCACCATGGCACCAAGGGACACAGGGAAGCCTGGCACCCAGGGTGCAGTGCTCATAGCAGGTGGACCCTCCACTTCTTACTCTGTCCTCTCTAATGGACTTTGCAGCTTCTGAATCATCTCTACCTACCACTGCTGCATCCAAACCCAAGTAGATGATTTACCACTGGTTACATTTGGTTATTCTGTATTACAGCCACAGTCACCCCAAGGAATTGTGAAGCTCCACCTAAGGTACAAAGCCTACAGTGTTTTGTCCTGCAAACACACTCACAGTGCATTTCTAAACAAACATCCTCCCAAGGTGAGAAGAGAGCAATGTTTATCTGTTGTGGGCTGTGCATGTCCCTTTTCTATTGGGACAGATCTGCACACAGCTAACTCCAGTACTTTCAGCTGGTGTGCTGTTTTGTGGCCCTGATCACTTCTGCTGTTAGAGGCACATGAGATGCAGGAGACATTCTCCAACAGAGGAGAGCTGCCTGGCATTGAAAAAGAATCATAGAATCAATGAGGTTGGAAAAGACCTTTAAGATCATCAAGTCCAATCCCAGGACTGCCAAGACCACCACTAAACCATGTCACTGAGGGTCTCATCTACATGGGTTTTGAACACTTAAAAAAACCCAAAAAACTTAAAAAGCACAAAGGCTGTTTGATGGGGTACCCAAAAGGAATGGGGTCAGGCAGCAACTACCACTAACATGCTGCGTGCTAAGGTACAGTGCTGTACTTCAGCGGATGAGCGAAGGAGCTGGTTACTCGGTCACATGCTGGGATGACTCAGCTGAGCAGGAGAAGAAAGGTTGATACACCTCCAGCTCTCCTGAGAGGCTTTGCCGGTACCTCTCACAGAAATACAATACGCTCTTTCTGCCATCTGCTGAGCACTCCTACGCCTGCTGGCTGGCAGAGTGGTCCTGCAGGTTCATTTAGAAGTGACTCTGCAGAGAGGGTAACGAGGGGGCAGCAGTGGGGTCCCTGGGGGCTGCTCCAGGTCTGCCACCACTTTGCAAGCGGATCTCTGGGAAACTGCAAAGTCACAAGTCTTCCGTGAAAGCCGGAGGCAGCTTGAGTGAAAGACAATACAAGTGAGCAGCTTGAACAAAGCTGTTTCTTACTTGATTTTCCGTAGGCGTGTTCGTGGAGCCAGCCAGCTTCTCTCTGCATTGATACTGAAATTCCTGGCGGCTTCTGAGTCTTGATAGGTTCAACGCTGCCCGATATTCCCCTTAATGTAAGACACAAACCCACCTGTTAGCCACACACAATGACTTCAAAGCAGTTGCCCTGGACCACTGTATCGATGAAGACGACTTTTCTGAATGTATCTGATTAGAACTCCGAACGCTATGGATGCAGTAAGCGGGGCTGGCTCCGGTTTAGCTACCGAGGAGGGAGGGAGGTGCCATCTGGGCCCTGCCAGCCGCTGACCAAGGTCGCTCGGCCTGTTTCCCCTCCACCTTCCCTCCCGCGGTTTTCGGGAGATCGGTCGGTACGTGTTCCACCGCAGCAGAGAGCCTCGGGGAGCGGCCCGCTGCCCGGGGATCCACCGATCGCGCCGCAGTTCTCTACGCAACCGGCGCTACCGACCT